CACAAAGCTCCAAAATTTAGACAAGTACAAGGTATTTGAAAGAGAATATCTAAGAGATTCATTAGGAAAGAAACATACCTCAAGCTTTTCAACATATTTTTGCACCTTTCCGAAAGGAGCCAACTTCGCCTGCGCAAATTCCAGAGCTTCTGTGCTGCCACAGGAAGAAATAGTCAGAAAACTTAACTTGTCTTTGACAAATAAGCCATTGGCATACGGTGCTCACCATTTTCTTGAGCAGACAAGTCCAACGAAATGAAGGCTCAACAAATCAAAATGCAAATCCTTATTTTTCTCTAATAAGTCAGGAGCGAATTGATCTGTGATTTCAATGGCCTTCAAAACACTTCCCTCTAATGCCAAATGATAAATCCCTGGATATAACTTTATAGTTAGGACCATCAATCAAACACTTCTAAATGTGGAGTGGGTAAACTAAATTATAAAGAGGAAAGGGAAAAAGAAACAAAATAGTTTATGTTAAACATTACTTAATTTGCTCGTTCTTTAGTAATAGGTAAAACCATCTATTGTTCCTATGCATTGCAGGTGAATAGAACAACACAATGTTCCAATCCCAAGCTAATTGGGTTGATTAGCTAAATTCTATATATTCATTTTGCTCCATCAGGGCACATTTCAATCATATACTCAATAATTTGCCACTTACTATAGCTTCTCTAAGAATAAATATACTCTGCATTGCACACTTACTCTAACATTGACACATCATTCTTAAACCATTGTGAAAATATTCTTGGTAAACAGTAGACTTTATATACATGTGCCAACAATGACCAAACCTTATTATATTTTTCTTATGCTAAGTCAAACGTACTTTAGAGATTATAGGTCTTGGAGATAACTTCCTTCCATGTTATTTTGGGTCTATCTCGTCTCCTTTTAACACCTTCCTTCAATCATTGTGTTACCCATCTAATCCTCAAGCTTATAGTAGGCTTTTAACATATGCTATGCACAATAGACAGTAAGGATGCATGATATCTGTCTGGAAAACCAACAGAAAAAATAGCATAATATCAAAAAGAAAAAAATTATTACAAACAAGGCTATTTCTCAAACAAAAGTACTCATTAGGGGGAAAGAGGCATACTTATCCTGGAAAACTATTCTTAAAGCTTAGAAGTAAACCACTACCCGAAAAAGGGCTTAAAGAGTGTAATGCCAACACAATGAAAAGAATGAGAAACAACAATTATAAGCCTCAAGAATACAATCACTTACTTTTTCTCTTCTCCATATCCTCCAGATTCGCAGTCTGATTCATGCCCATGGAGGTAGTAAATGATTCCAATGTGTCTGTAAAGCAGCTATGTGCGAGATATGACATGACAATGCTGTGAACATCATTGTCATTGACAGCCTATGGAAGAAATCCCATAATAAGCAAATCACAAGTTAGACACCGTACAAAACCACTTAAATCATAGATCATTTAATTTTTATAAGTTTTCCAAGACAGAACAATGAAAGAGAGCCCACAAACAAAACAAACTTCTCTGACAATAAGTCATTTTCAGTATTTTCTTATTATCGATCTAACACTCAAACTTTTCAACCTATATCAATCAATTAACTAGTCCTCAATCCCATATCAGACGGAGTTGGCTATATTTCAAACCAGTTCGGCTTCTTGAATCCACCATACTCATTCAAATTGAGCCCATTTCATCATAAACACTAACATTTTTTCTTCAAGGATAATCAAAGGATCTATGTAACAAGTTCTCTAAATCTCCCTCTTATTCCTACACTAACAAGTCTTCTAGCGTACACCAGACCTAATGCGTGTATAATAATAACTAGTAGTATCGTTTATATATGATATATCATTTTCTTGCATTGTTTTCTGCCCTTGAACCTACATTAATTACAAGAGACTATAAGTATCCTGAGACAACACCTCATGTTTTAGGTCTGTTCTTGTCCTTTGTTAGTAACTTCGAGCATCATAATATCCCACCCGGTGGTAGTTTGGTGCACAGTACTTGTTTCTCAAATCATACCAGTAGTAGCAGCATTATTCTCGTAGTTTCTTTTTCATATGATTGTTGGTATTATATGTTATCTTATGCTTCGATTGTCACATTATTCGGCTATAGTTACTATTGCTTGTCTTCTAAATCCCTCAATATTTTCTCCATCTCTTCCAAAGCTCTCCACTAACTCTCATCCTACTTAAAATCTCCTTTCCTTCAACCAAAACAAAAACTATACCAAATTTCAAAACCCTTTTCTGTTGCCTATTCATCAAATTCATAACCCATATATAAAAACTAACAATGCCACAGATACAACTAGTCAATCATCAAATAGAACTCTCAAAGTCAATTATTAGCCATTACAGATTCAAAAATTCGAACAAAAGGGGCTGCAATAGTATTTAGCCAAAATCAAAAATCAAAACCACCTTCATCAGCAAAACAATAACAGAAGATGAAAAGGAAACAACTTTAATCATAAAATTAAAGTAATAATAGAAAAAAACTTACAATATCTTCGTATTGCCGAGGATCAATATCCATCGTCCGCCGAAAAAATTGAAAAATATTCCGATTTATAAGAGTATGCTTTTTTTTTGTTCCAAATTATTGGTGGGTTGGGAGGAAGAAGGAACTTTTTTATTCACAAATTGCAATTATTCGTTCGGAGTTTGATAAGAAATTGAAGCAGAGAAAAAGACTGCGGAATTTTCCTTTTGGTTTTTTCGGCACAAAGGGTCTATCTAGTAAAGTCTACTAGCGAAACGTGATATGTTTGACTTTTGGTAATTAAATTCGCGTTTAATCGTAAATTTTAAAATTACGTTTGTAATTTGTATATACATATTTTTTTTTAAATAAAATTTTACAAGTGTAGTTAAATTTTAAGAATTTGGAAATGGTAAATGATTTTTTTTTAAATTAATAACTAATTATTATTTTTGCAAATAAAATAGTGATATTTACTTTTTCTTCCTTAGGTTCTTTGCAGTTTGCACAAACATAAAGCTCAACTTAACATATGTACCATATAATTACATTGGGTATAATATTTTTCCTTTTTAGGAACAATACTTTTTAGATTTATGAGTTTAAAATCTTAATTTCCCAATATACCTTATCTATCTCCAGCTCTTCTTATATTTTTCGTTAAAGATTTTGTGAGCAAGGACTATTATTTCACTTAAATATTATATGAATAGTCAAGCCATTATTTGTAAACTCCTAACTTCATTATTTACAAATAATGGAATATTATTTATGGCAAGTATAATTTACAGTCACAAAAGTTAAGATTTCTTCTTTTTTACAAACAGCAAATTTTAAGTGAAGTGTTTGGAGAAAAGAAAATAGAATTTCGCTTTGGTTTAGGATTTAGGACACGACACGCCTTATTTTACCTGTAATTAACCTCTCCTTTTGCTATACATTTTGAAGTTGTGTTTATATGTTATATATACATTTTATCTAGGAAAAAAATAATTTTCATGAGTGAAAATCTCAAAAATTGATCAGAGCACATTTTTCAAAATTTAAAAATATTTATAATTTTTTTTTCAAAATCTGATTAAATTTTAAATTGTAAGAATATATATCTTTAAAATTTAACCTAAAATTTATGATCAAATATTAGCTAAATTATTATTTTTGCAAAAGATAGTGATTCAGGTTCCTTATAGTATAATGCTCAACATAATATATGTATCAAAGTAATGATATTTTCTAACCTATACCTAGTGTTGCTTATAGTTATGGTTAAAAAATTAAATCGAATCGTAATCTAAATCAAATCGATTAAAAAGTTGGCAGTTAATTTGGTTTGATTTTAATTTTGTAAATCGATACTATTTGATTTGGTTTTTGTTTTTACTAAAAAAACAATAGCAAAAACAATCAAATTGAACCAATAAATTAGATAAATAAAAATTTAATTATTTATATATCATTAATAAATAAAAAAATTTGTTAAATTTATTAAGCGAAGAGAGTGCATTTTTTCATGAATTTTGAAGAAAAAAATATATATAAATACAAGCTGATTTATACAAAAATTAATGCGTATTAAGCAGAAAAAGGCGAGACGGGAAAGAGAGGAAACTTCAACAGAAATGAATATTCAACGGTTGAACACAAGAAACTAAAAAAGTGTTAGAAATAATTATTATGTATGACCCATATTAGATGAGCATTTTACTAAAAATATTTATCTCTTATTTTACTCAATTACTTACTAAATCATACTCCCTCCGTTTCACCAAGAATGATTTAATTTGACTCGTCACGGAGTTTAAGAAAATAAAGAAGATTTTTTTGATCATATGTTTCTAAATTAAAGTTATGTCAAATGTACAAAATTGCCCTTTAATTTTGTTGTCTTAAACGTGCCACGTGGAAAGTTATTACAAAAAAAAGATAATTATTTTTTAAACAGACTAAAAACGAAAGGAAGTCATTCTTTTTTAAACAAAGAAAATAATAAAATTAATCAACTTTTTTTCATTTTATCCCTACAACTAGTATAGCTTTGAAAGTTTAAACAACTTTGAAGATCCAATTTTTTTTAAGAGGCTACTTAATATAAATAAAGAGCAAAATAATAATGTTAATTAACCAATTACCTGATTCCGTTATAACATAAGGATTAGTTATAACCAATCAGCTGATTCCGTTAGAGTGGCTAATTGTAGTTTAAATTGAAGTTTTCTTTCAAAGTACTAGCCAATCTAACTCTAAAACAGACCTGCTAAGGTATTATCCAAGGCTTGATTTGGTTGACAAATATTTTCGTATATTTTTATTTATATATCGTTATCATTAAAAAACATAAAAATAATACGTACTTTTTCACCTATCATATTATTTTCTCTAATAGTGTGTAGAAAAAGAAGGTTCTAGACGATGCCATGTTCACCTTCATTCCCGTCCGTCTGAAACTTCTCTCAACCGCTGAAGCCAAAGTGTAGTTCGTTAAGAAAGCATTTTCCATTTCGTTTTCTTTTTTTTTTTTCGCTTCACGCACAAAAGCATGACTAGTTTTTCCGTTCCTTTAAATACTCGCTCCAATGATCAGTACTGCTCAAAACTCCCGCCTTCCAAAACTGCCAAAATTGTGATCAGAGAAATTCCATTTCCAAAACTCCCAAAGTTCTTCAACCGGCTATGGATGAAAATGAAAATGCGGAAGATACTGATGTATCAGAAGCTAGTACTCTGTCTCTAAACTCAGAGTTCGAAGATCCTGAAGCAGAAACTACTAAACGCAAGACGACGCAAGAAACCGGAGAAACTAGTAAACGCAGGCGGACGCCGTTGAATCCGATGTTTGGCGAAGATGCGGAAGCATCAGGGACTTCTAGACTTTTGTCAAAGCCGGTGGATGGAGGTGCTTCTGAGCCAGTGGATATGGATGCCTACGACAACATACCACGGGCATTTCCCGCTCCGGAACTATACCCAGCCATGGATAGATATTTACCGCCACATGTTCGAGGAAAATCCATACAAGAAAAAGTCGCTTATTCGGATGATATACTCATGCAATATGCTCCTAGTCAGAAAGAGGTACACTCATTTTCTATATACTCCTTCGACATTTGTTTTTTGAAATAGAAAAGCTGTACAGGGAGGAAGTTCAGTAATATTATGATTATGTCTCATTCAATTTTGACGTATGTTTAACGATTCAGATTGAACTGCGAGAATACAGGGACAAAATCATATCAGAATATCCGGTATTGTTACCCTCTATCGTTTCACATTGTTATTCTCTCTCTATATATATAAACGTACTAATATAATTATTTGTTTATTCTTCAGCGGTTACACGAGAAATTATATGCTATAAATCCCACAGAAATTTTTGTCCCTTCCTTTATCAAGGCAATCAATGAGAAAACAGAGGATAGGTTCAGCAATATCATTTCTGAGCCCTCTCCGGGTATTTTAACCTTTGAAATCTTTCAACCAGAGTATTGTGAGATGTTGGTGGCAGAGGTATCTGAAGCCTTGTTGTTCTGTTGTTGCTTGACAATTCTTTTTGTTCTGTCTTGTTGCTGATCAAATAGTATTCAATTTTTAGGTAAACCATTTTCAAACCTGGATCCAGAAAACAGACATCCGAACCGAGCATCGGAACAATATGAACAACATGACGTATCTTGATGATTTAGGAATGGAATATATGCTTCAAAATCTCATGGATAGGTTTATAAGTCCAATTTCCAAAGGTAATAACTAATCTATCCATCTATCTCAAAAGATGTATAAGAGATTAATCACCTCACATTTGCAAAGTAATGCTTTCAGACACTAATCGAGGTATTATGCAGTTTTTTTCACTCAGGTTGGGGGATCTACCCTTAATGAACATGAGTGTGTTGTTGAGTGTCATACCGAAGGCGAAAATGAATTAGGTGAATAATCTATTTTGTTGTCACGTAGATTTTAGGCAACAATTTTTCTGCACCCTTAACATTTTCTTTTTTCAGCTGTTCAAGTTGATGACACGGAACTTACCTTAAATGTGTGCTTGGGCCAGCAATTCCTTGGGGGAGAATTGTGCTTCCAGGGTGTATATTGTGAGAAACATGTGGACACTCCGACACGACCTGAGGTAATTAAATTGTACTCCAAATAATTGGTTTATACATAGTGCTTAATCATGCACGGGAGTAAGTAATGGTGCTTCACAAAATGATCCCAAGAAAGTTTACCGTAAAGATTGCTACGAAAGAAGAGTGATAGCACCAAGTACTATGAGATCTTGGGAGTTCCTAACAGTGCTTCACGAGATGATTTCAAGAAAGTTTACCCTAAACCTGCCACTAATACTAATCCTGATAAGGGTGGTGATCCTGTAAAAGAAAATTTTACTTGCTTTTTATTTATGGATTTGTTAATTTTGTGACCCCTTTTGGGAGATTGTTGTTTATCTTTGTATAATGATCAATCTTTTTGTAATTTTTTCTATTTACCTAATATCTCTGGGTTTTGTTTTAGATATGTTAAATTCTATTTGAAGAAGTTGAAGGGGAAGGTTGATACTGTTACTGAAGTTCGAATGTTTTGTGGGATACTAGATGCTAGGTATGTTTTTATTGACGTCGAGCTAACTACATAGTCAGAGGGGAACTTCCCTAAAATGCGCGGATCAAGATATAGCTTGCCTGTCGAGCCGATGGGCGAAGGGCTGAAGGCTTAGTTTCCCCAAGCTTCATCATGGTCAACTCTGAGTTTGACGGGTTTTGTTTTAGAGCTTAGGAAACTAATCTGTTATGGTTTTGTTTTAGAGTTTAGGAAACTAATTCTAATGGGAAGAAGTGAAAGGGGGAAGATTAATTCTGTTAGTGAAGCTGGACTTGTTTGTGTTAAGAAAAAGCATTAGTTGTTATGTTTTCTTTAGTATGTATGTTAGTTAAAGTTAAAGTTGAAAAAGGGTATTGGAAGTTGCAAATAACATTTGTAGGAGTTTTAGTATCAACATGATGAGAAAATGTAATATCGGTTTCTCAATGATTTTTTTCAACAGGATAATTTTGAATATTCACACATTTTGGGGCATGCAATTCTCTATCAGGGTCGCAATAGGCATGTTTCTAAGGTGACTACAGCTGGGAAAAGATACAATTTGGTGTTGGGCTGCAAAAGGTACAAATATATTTGACTTTGTTCTAGTTCTTTAGTGCATCATTACCTAGCTAATTACTGTTATAATCATTACACAGCGCTGGTTTTAGGCTAGTGTGTAAGCAACTGGGTGATTTTAGTTGGTGTTCCGAATGTAAGCAGGAGAAGGATAGGAGAAATAGGGAACTTGTGTCTACATTCATGGCAGGGGTAAGTTGTTTTGCATTGAATTGTTTGTTTTTCTGATAATTGGTAGTAAGTAATAGGAGCAGTAATCTTTAGATAATGTTCTTGATCCAATCTATTAGTGTATGTATCAGGGAAATAACTAATATACCCTATATCATTTTTCTTTTTTGTTTTCAGTTTGTGCCGAAATGAGGGTGGTACGGTTATTGTGCTGAAGTTGAGTCTTTCATACAAACAAACACTTGGGTCTTTTCCGTTTTCAGGTGCTGCTGGGATGAGTGTGGTATGGTTGCTGTGCTGAATCGAGTCTGTCATACAAATGAACACTCCTTTTCGAATCATACAAACTCTGCTATCATTGTGAACTTGTAATGTCTGTTATCACAGAACAGATTAAAACTTTGTTTCAGTGTTTTCTTAAAACTTGTAATGTCTGTCATCACAGAACAAAAAACGGATACTTAACAATTTTTTAAAACTTTTTGCACTATGACTTCTCTCAAAAAAATTTGTTGTCCTTATCGTAGGTTTACCTTACTGTTATGATCATCTCTTCTTTTTCCTAGCTTCATATGTTGTTAGTTGCAGAGGTCTAACTATCTTCTGCCCATCCCATTAGATTTGCTTCGCTTCTTTGTCTCCTATATTATGAAAATTTTGAAATCGTTTGTTATTTTTTTACTACCATTTTCTTCAAGTCTATTATGGTAGTTGTTCTAATATCTATTAGAAAATTGATTACTTTAATTTTTGAATACTCAGAAGTTATAGTTTTTTTAATACTGTTATTTGAATTGTATAGTGAACCTATCCAAATGTTATAATTTTCTCTTTCAATATTCTAGTGATAATAAATTGGTCCTTACAATATGAACTAAAAGTGATCAAGTGAAAAAAAAATGATATTGCTATAAATGGTAAAATCTAGAAATAAATTTTTATTTTTAATTACTATTCATGGAGTCATGGTACAAGATTTAAATTTGTAAGTCAGATATTATTGTTTATAATAAATTTTTAAATTACAATCCCAAATAAAATATGAAGAAATATAATGTTATTCATCAAGATTGCGGTATAATTATGTTCTTTATCCATAATTCAAAGGATCGTTAGTGACTATTTCTCGAACTCATATGATTTAGATTTGACCTGATCTACATAGATATTCCATGATTTTTTAAAAATATCCCAACAAATCTAATTGAAACTGAATACACTTTATAGAGTCAATTTGAATTGAACACATCTTATTTTATATAATCTATAAAATTTTATTTATATATATATTATTTATTTTTGGAACAATAAAAACAAATCATCCTTTTTTTTAGACCAATAAAAAAAAGTTGGTGTACCCTATTCCTATATATATAGGGAATAATAACATACAACATAAGAACAAATATTGGTATAGAAGATGGAGGAGTACAACGAGGGTTCATCGGAGGAGGCAACGCTGAGACCCGAACCATGTTTAGAACACAAGGCGGAAAACTATGATGATTTAGAAGAAGAATTGGAATTCGATCCTTTATTATACACTTCTCTTGAGCGTTATCTTCCAGATAATTTCATTAATTTATCACGACTCGATAAAGTTCCATACTTGAATCAAATTCTTCTTGATTATTCTCCTCCATCTCAGCGCAATCATGTAAGTAATTATAATTATTAATAACTAGATTTCACGTTTTACCCATCTATACCATAACTAATCTTTTACGTGTTATTTTTACTTAGCATTAATTTCATTGTTGCCACACTTTTGTCGTCCTTGTTGCTAATTCGTAAATTAATTGTTTAAGGTTAACATGCTTGGATTTATTTTTTTATTTTATTTATTTATAAAACAAAATTCAACTTATGTATATGTCCTTTGTAACGGAGGACTTATCATGTGCATTAAGTCTTTTGTTATTTTAGTTTAAATTCAACTGCTTATAAGTATTTTTTTAAATTGACTTTAAAGTTATTTTAACTTAAAATTCGATCCAAACAAGCTCTTAAGCTCTAACATTTTGGATGGCATTAGAGCGGAGCGGAGTAGATTTAAAGCTATGTAGGGCGGAGCGGGTTTAAGATTATGTGGGGCTGGTTGAATGCAGGGAGGGTGAAAGTGAGTTTTTTTAAAATTAATGTGGGGAACGGCGGGTTGCGGGTATATGTGATTTTAGGTAGGTTCAAACTTAATTTTAACTTTTTACATTGTTATTGAATGAGATCATTATTTCTTGAAATATTTCATTAAAGCTTCTAAAATATTCAAGATAATAAATGAAAATAGTTCAATAAAATTAATATAATTTCCCAACTGAACTCTAAAAAATAAATTTTAAGTCACTATCCTACTAAATTAATGAAAAATGAATTTATTTTATGAAATTTATTTTTAGTATCAAATATAACTAGAAAGAAAATATTTAAAAAATTATATGGGGCGGGATTGGACGGGTTGAAAATAAAAAATATTACTATATGAGACAGAGCGAATTAAAAATTGTGCGAATTAAGCTCAATCAGCACCAGCCCTATCTAACATAAATCAAATTGCATAGGAACAAAAACCATTATTATATATATATATATATATATATATAATTTTATTTTTCTTACTATATATTGAAACTTGTTTATTTGCTCTTTGGCTAATTAATTCTTGATACATCTTTTAATCGTGTTGCTACTACAGAGGCATAAACATAGAGAATATAGACAAAAGATCATGTCAAATTATCAGGTATGTACACATAACAAATAGTCAAATGTTGTGATATTTCAAGTTCAATTGTGGCAACAACAAAAATAAATATAATCTCAATCTTGATTGTTTTTCAGCCTCTACACAAGGTGTTATATACCATGCACCCAACAAATTTCTTTGTGCCTTCATTTCTTAAGGCCATCTCTGAGAACACCGAACAAAGCTTCAGAAGTATAATGTCTGAACCCTCTCCGGGTATTCTAACATTTCAAATGCTTCAACCACGTTTTTGTGACATGATGTTGGAGGAGGTACGTACTATATAATACTAGTATATAGAAAAAATGGCCTGATATACCCCGTAAACTTTGTCATTTAGAGCTGATATATATACCCTCCCTTATGATGGTAAAGATATATAGGAGCCCCTTTCAAAACGAAATTAAAGTTGAGGAATATGTAATAGTAAATAGGGAAAAGGGTCTGAGATACCCCTCAACTTTGTCATCTAGAGTTGGTATACCCTCCTTTATGACGGTAAAAATATATATGAGTCACTTTCATAACGAGGAGCATATCAGCACCAAATGACAAAATTGAGGAATATGTAATAGATTATAGGGAAAAAGGTCTGAGATACCCTAAAACTTTGTCATCTACAGTTGGTATACCCTCCCTTATGACGATAAAGATATATATGATCCACTTTCATAACGAGGGGCATATATATTAGACTTTTTTCCCTATGACAAAGTTGAGATATCATAGCTTTTTCCCTAGTATAAAAAACGCATATTTGTTAGGTGTGACATATGTTTTCTTAATTGTTAATTAATTAGGTAGAAAATTTTGAAAAATGGATTCGTGAAACAAAATTCAGAATCATGCGTCCAAACACAATGAACAAATATGGAGCAGTACTCGATGATTTTGGCCTTCAAACCATGCTTCAGGAATTTATGGAGGATTTTATACGTCCCATTTCAACAGGTTATAATTACAGAATTAATTAATTATATGAACTAGAAATAAAATTAAAAGTAAGTGTATCTTAATTATTCTTTGATATAATCTTGCAGTTTTATTTACTGAAGTTGGTGGATCAACACTCGATAGCCATCATGGTTTTGTTGTTGAGTATGGGACAGATAGAGATGTTGATTTAGGTAAGTCAAATAATTTTTTTCAAACATTTTTTTCTTTCGATACCTTTTAACAGTTTTTTAGTTTTCAGGTTTTCATGTTGATGATGCTGAAGTTACTTTGAATGTGTGTTTGGGGAAACAATTCGATGGTGGAGAATTGTTCTTTCGAGGTGTGCGATGCGAGAAACATGTAAACACTGAAACACAACCAGAGGTAATTGTTACTTGTTGTAATGGATCATTTATTCTCCCTAATTGGTTAATTCTGTTGCCGATCCAATCTGTGTTATGAAAATTAGAAATTAAATTTATTTATAAAAAAATAACTTACCAGAATTTGAAGTACTCTTTTCAATAATTTTAGGAAGAAAATCAAGTCAACTGAATTCACAGTGTCCCTAAGGAAATTATTCCCCTCTAAGGTTTGATTTGGAATATAACCTCCCGAGTAAAATAATCAGTAGAGTATAGATACCAAAAACTCTATTGTTAGCGAATCAATCCACAGCAAGAAAATACACGAATTTTAAATTCTAGGTAGAATATCTATAATTTAGTGAATTAATCAAAGTAATTGTTGTTTTTACAGGAGATTTTTGATTATTCTCATGTTGGGGGAAATGCAATTCTTCATTGTGGTCGCCATAGACATGGTGCTAGAGCAACAACATCAGGAAGGAGGACCAACTTGTTAATATGGTGCAGAAGGTATTTTTGAATACTTAATTACTATTTTCAGATTACATTAATGCTAATTAATAATTAATTACTTGCAGCTCTGTGTTTAGAGAGATGAAGAAGTACCAAACAGATTTTTCCAACTGGTGTGCAGAGTGCAAGCGTGAAAAGGAAGAAAAGAGGCGGAAAAATGTTTTATTGCTCAAATCGGTACGTACGTTCTCTATTAATTAATTAATAAAACCAAAAATATATTAGAATTAAAGTCTCTAATATAAAAATATATGCTATTGATATTTTGGATCCAACTTTTAAGGTATCGCAGAATTTAAATTACGCTACGATTAATTAATGGATGTACTATTTTTTTTAATCAAATACATATTCTAAATTATTTTTCTTGTATTTTCAGGAGATGCGCCTAAGATTTTTATAGCTATTCAGAAGAGTTGGGAAAACATCGAGGGATTAATTGAAAAATTTGAGACAAATATAAGAGTATTATTTTTTTTATTTACGCTTTAATTTATCGTATACAATTATCTACCGTCAATAGATATGTTATTTAAAAGGAAAAAAAAAGAATGAACATGTCAATGTGTGTTAATTTAGTTCGAAAATGCTAGTACATAATTTGAACAATACGTCAAAGCATTAAAAAGGACAAAAATGACGAGTGGTGGTTGAAATTTCACATGGTAACATATTATGGCTCAATCCGTACCCAATTATTACTAAATTGTCATGTGTAACACATGACCTATGTTTGTCTATGCCAATTTCTATCACAAATATATCGTTGGATCAAACGACAAAAAAAAAATAGATCAGATATGTTATGTTTTTCTTATTTTTCTTCTCTCTATATTTGATAATCACATTATAGCTTTATTTAAATTTAGATGTACATTAAAAAAATCTAATATCAAAAGGTAAGACACTATAAAAACTTTAATCCTTTTGTTATAATCACTCTGTTTAGTCATTAATTTTAAATTTGAAAATTTGAGCTATTAAAGTTGTGTCTAGACTTGTATTAAAAAAACTGAATTTTCGTGAGCGAAATCCCTAAAACCCATTCTATTTTCAGAACCTTGAAGTTTTTCTCCTTTGATACCAAATTTTCAATCTGACCCTAAAATTTATAACCAAACATTAGCGGAACTGTCATTTCCCCAATTTGTGACATAAAACATATTAAAACCCAATTAAATTTAAACCGAATACAATAAAGCTGAACTTTTGAGGGTGACGCTCTTTAACTAAATTTTGCAAAAGATTTTAGAGGCTAAGAAACCAGAAACTTGGAGCCTTTCTATACCCAATAAAACAAGCCCATATTTCTTCCATTCCTTTGTTAGTTGCCTATATTTACTCCAACCAAACCCCTCCTTCACATTTTTCTCTCACATCTCCAATTTCTTTGGCACCCTTTTGACCATGAAATGGTTATTGCCTTCTTTAGTTCTTGTTTTGCTAATTTTTCAACAACCCCTTTGCACTTGTTCATCAATTTCTGATCTTTTTGAAACTTGGTGTCAGCAAAATGGAAAAAAATATTCTTCAGAACAAGAAAGGATGTATAGATTCAAGGTGTTTGAAGAAAACTATGCTTATATTACAGAGCATAATAGCAAAGGGAATTCCAGTTATACCCTTGGTCTCAATGCCTATTCTGATCTTACTCACCATGAATTTAGGAATTCTTTCTTGGGTCTTTCCTCTTCTGCTAATGATTTCATTAGGTTGAAAGGTAGAGGGTCAGGTTCTTCTGCAGCTGGAGTTTTGAGTGATGTTGATGCTCCTTCTTCTTTGGATTGGAGAGACAAAGGAGCTGTTACTAATGTCAAAAATCAAGGAAGTTGTGGTATGTTGAGTTTATTGCTGTATTTAAGTGGCAAAATCAGTTTTTTTAATCAAAGTTTGGATTTTGATGACCTTACTCATCAGAAAATGGAGTTTGTGGTGCTTCTTTTAGTTTCTTTTTTGTTGTCTTTGAGTTGAAATTCTGATAAATGTGCTGAAACTTTCAGCTGCCTTTTTTCCTTTTTTCAAGTGAGCTGAGGCTCTATCGGAAACAACCTCTTTAAGGGTGAGGTGTGCGCATACACTCTACCCTCCAGTCCCCACTTTGTGAGATGTCGTAAAGGTCTAGACTAATTTACTTTATTGTAACCAAGGCTCATCACTTACTTTAGGTCCAGTATTTGACAAGAACTCTATCAGTTTATGAATTGGGATAAGTGTCGGATTTAGAGAATTTTTAGTTTAGGAGCTATTTAGTTGTCCTATAAGACAATTTTTTTAAGTATTAGAATGAAAAATGGAGTAGAATCAATATTGATAATTCATACACCTACCAAAATTATAATTTGATAGTAGTAGTTGTTGTTGGTTATGCTTTCCTTGAGCCAAGGGTCTCTCGGAAATAGCCTCTATCCTCATAAGCTGGTAAGTATGGAATTTCACTTGACGTGTTGTTGTAGTAGTTGTTGTTGCTATTGAAATTGAGCCTCGTGAGCTCATCCCTATCCTAAGTTGATTAAGAATGATTCTTTTGTTTGTTTCTCGTTATCAAAGAAAAAAAGATACTGTTTGATTCTGTAGTTTCAATTTTTGTCTCTATGTATGTGGAAAACATTTCTCAAGAGTGACTAGAAGATGTGAGTAACTGGACATGCTGATACTCTAGCTATATTGACTCATGGACAGGCAAAAAATAGTATTACGAAGATCATGAGCATAGCAGAGTAGTAAAATATGGTTAAATTATCATTTTCCTTAGCTATTGGAACATAAACTTTACCAGACTATTCTAAAGGTTTCTACTTTCATTGTTTATTCTACATCCGCAATGAAAAGCTGGAGTACCAGCTTCAGTATTGTAACTCTATAACATAGAAATAAATATAAATATAAGCTGATTCTTTTTTGGGTCCTGTTTTCGACTATTGACTTATAACTCATTGTCTACAGCATTGTCTTTCTATTGCCATAATATTTAACCTGATCTCAGCTACTAGCTGCCATAACTAAAAAGAGTTACTTTTGTTTCATTTTCCAGGTGCTTGCTGGTCATTCTCGGCCACTGGTGCAATTGAAGGTATCAATAAGATTACCACTGGATCTCTCGTTAGCCTCTCTGAGCAGGAGTTAATTGATTGCGACAGAAGTTACAATCAAGGTTGTGGAGGTGGATTGATGGACTATGCTTTTGAATTTGTCATAAAGAATGGTGGTATTGACACCGAAAAGGATTATCCTTTTAGAGAAAAGGAAGGAACATGCAACAAAAACAAGGTACCTAACTATCCTCTTGTATAGTTTTATGATTAGATCTACTAAAAGGGTTTACAAATGAATTGTAATTACAACTGAAACAATGACATGGAACTGTGAGTTAATATATGCTCGAAGGCTGAAAATATCATAGGGTTTATCTCATCTGAAGCTAATATTTATCAGTGGTACCTGAATGGAATGTTGGCAACTAAGAAGATGGTGCAAATAAAGTGACTATGGCAGAAAACCTTGGCCTATATATTCTCTGAATCTGAATTCCTTATTTATTATAGGGAACTTAGGAAAATTTTATTCCAGATAAAACAATTATGAACAAGCACAATTGCTTTGCTTAACTTGTCGACTTTGCAGCTACAAAGACGTGTTGTAACCATTGATGGATATACTGATATTCCTCAAAATGATGAGGACAAGCTTCTAAAGGCAGTGGCAACTCAACCTGTGAGTGTTGGGATATGCGGTAGTGCGAGAGCATTTCAATCATATTCAAAGGTCTCTTCCACCTCTGAATTCGCAATCTCCTAATCATCTTAGGCAGTTTGTGGGAAAGAAATGTAAAGTTGTTTCCTTTGTGTTGCAGGGGATATTCACTGGCCCGTGTCCTACAGATTTAGATCATGCGGTACTGATTGTGGGCTATGGTTCCGAAAATGGATTTGACTACTGGATTATAAAGAACTCATGGGGAACAAGCTGGGGAATAAATGGTTATATCCACATGCAGCGTAATAGTGGGAATCAAGAAGGGATCTGCGGGGTCAATAAGTTAGCTTCATATCCAACCAAGACTAGCCCAAATCCACCAAATCCTCCAGCTCCTGGTCCATCCAAATGCAGCACATTCACCTCATGTGGTCAAGGTGAAACCTGTTGCTGTGGTTTGAAGTTTCTTGGAATATGCCTTTCTTGGAAATGCTGCGGGTTGGATTCAGCAGTATGTTGTAAAGATGGACGCCACTGTTGCCCATGGGATTATCCAATTTGTGACACAAGTCGGAACCTTTGCCTCAAGGTACATCTCAACCTCTGTATTTCCTTTCTGTATTTGATGCATATCTTATCCTAGTAGGACCTATACAACGCGAAAAAAACAATTTCAGAGTACAGAGTTCCCCATTGAACTGATCATAATGCAATGTAAGAATCCAAATATCCAACCAACGGGCAATTACATAATGCTTTATGAGGATTTTGTCTTCTGCTTCAAGTTCTTGTGCATGCAAGCTTCAACAGTTGCTTTCAAGTTGTTATCAAGTGTTCTGTAATTCTGAGTTATCTTTCCTTTTTTAAGCGTCTTATCTCCAGTCCAAACTTGGTTATGAAAAGGTTCCCTCATTGCCATTGTCATACCAATCTCTCTTGATGTGCTACATTTATACATATCCTTTCACCTTTCGTTACTGTGTTTTCACAGTTTTGTATGTTTCCAATGCAGCGAATGAGCAATGCTACTATAGTGCAACAGCCTCAGAAGGAACCATTTACTGGGAAATTCGGAGGTCTTATTTACCCTTTCTAGGCGTAGGAGCCTGGCACAACATCATTATCATATTCATGGTGTTACAAATTTACTTTGTGGCGTACATAGTTACCCCCAAGTAATTCCACTTGTTGCTGGATATCATTTTGTATTTGTAGAACTGGTATAGTCGCTTCTGGTCAGACGACGATCATCTTGTACCACATTATTAGCTTGTATTTTAGTAGTATTTCAGACTTTCCAGTTTTTAGATGACGACTTTGCTATCATCTACCTTCCAAGGTAGGGTAAAGTTACGTAGAGTTGAAGAAACTATAAATGTGTGCGCTTGACTCTTTCAACAATGGTGATTTTGGAGGGATTTTATTTACTTTCTTGGTTAGTGAATTTGGGTTTTGCCAGTTCCTTTTTTCTGAATGCATTGTTGTTGTTGTTGTTGCAACTTGCAATTTGTTGGATGAGATTACGTCTTTGTTGGTCTATTCTTTTGCACTGCTTCGACAGTTCATTTTCTCCCAAGTATATTGTCTCTGTGTAGGTTCTATGGAAAATGCAATAGCTATTGTAGAAACAGAGACATAACAAGTATAGAATATTTTTGCTTAGGAGTACAAATCATTAGCTAACATAATGGTTAAGGGTGTAGCTGCATGCAATGGGTGCAAACTGCAACTGGTCCTGGTTAAGTGGCTCTCGCGTGTGCTTGCTAGTACCCAAGGAGATCCATCAAACTTGCAATTTTGGGATTAGAAGCTGACTACTTCCACGAAAAACTTGCAGTTGCAACAGAAAATAGCAAAACTGATTCCTAGTTGAGCTTTAGAGGTTAGAAGTGAACTACTATGTGGAGTATTACATACAATAGGAAATGTTTCTCATGGTGAAATTTTTCTAGTCCAACAGTCCCACTGCTTCACATAATGAACTGTCAATAAAAGCAGATGCGTTTTCGCTATTAAGTCCCCCAAGAGTAGAGAGTTTTACTCCAAACATTGGCAACCAATAAAGCAGAAAGATGAAGCATACTAGTACTAGTAATTGTCGTAAAAGAAAAACAGATGAATGCTAGTGTGTGTTGGCCATCTGCTATTGAGGTCTAAGAAATGGTACAACTAAAATTACTCATCACGTCCGCTGTACTGAAGACAGCATTGTTGTGATCCAGAAGAACTCTGTTAGACTAAAGTGCCTGTTACGAAAAACTACTCCTGCAGCAGATTTGCTGTCGTAGTTGGACAGAATTGCTGCACAGTGTCTTTCCGATGGTAGGCATTGTAATAAAACTGCTGCTAGCATAGTAAAATACTTCTAAGCATTTTGATTCATAACTCTCTTTGAAGAAGAGAGAGCATGATGCAAGATTGCAGCATCTATGTGTGTGTGAGATGACACATTAACAAACAAGAGAAGATGTTAAAGTCCCACACGCAAAGAATACAAGTTTAGCTAACAATCTACGAGCTGCTGAAACTGATGAATCCTAGATCACCTTTATGGCTAATACCTGAAATCAATGATGAATTGCACTAGTATAGGTCACTCGCAAGCCTAAAAAGATCATTACTTTTGCAAGTATCCACATTCAAACTAATTCGGGTCTCAAGGAAAAGAAACCACACTATCAACACAAGTTAATCCATCCAATTGCAGCATCAGCTACTTGCATAAGTATAATGCCACTCCCAATCCTAAAAAGATCACTGCTTTTCAATGTATCCGCGTACAAACTAATTCGCGTCTCAAGGAAAAACCATTTGATAGCAGCAAAAGATAAATCAATCCAACACTATAAAACCTTGTGGAACTAGTATTAGGCATCAAAATTTACATATTCATAAGAAAATTCATCACTGTGTATACATTACGAAACCATAGTAATCTAACAAGTCAACAACCCCTTTAGGTAATTCAGCACCAAAAATTCTTACACATTTTTAATCAGGTAGAGGGAAACACATCCTTCACAGCAGAAGCAGCACTTAGATAGTTCAAAGTATTCCTCAAAGTCTCCTTCTCCCTCTTCAATCTCATCGCGGTATCTTCTAATTCAAGCAATGCTTGTTGTTCCCTTGGTGCCCCTTCAAACGTACTTCCCACGAAGAACGAAAATGGCGTTGGAAACAAATTCCTCCGCAAATCCGTTGCCTCCTTCTCCGGTTTCCCATTCAATCGGTTCGATAAACGAATCACATCTTTCATATAACTCTCCACCTCGTTCGCCAAACCCTCCACATCATCCTCCCCATTCGCCGACGGCCGGTCCTCCAGCCACGTTACCTCTGCAACCAAATACGGTTTAGACCGAACCAATTTATTGACCCGAAACCGCTCCTGCCCTTTACAGATTAAGAAAAACCGGTCATCCACCAGCCGCTCATGCTTAACGACTTCTCCGACGCATCCAACGTCGGCGGTGCCAGTGGCGCTGTCGGAGTAAATAACCCCAAAACGAAGGTCAGTTTGGAGAAGGGTATGCATCATTATCCGGTAACGAAACTCGAAGATTTGCAGCGGGAGAATAGCACCGGGGAAGAGAACGAGAGGAAGAGGGAAAAGGGGTAGCTCAACGACATCGTCTGATTTAGGTGAACCAGTGTGGTGCTTCTCCGGGAAGGAGGAAGAAGCAGAGCATCGAATACCATTCGAGTTACATCGGCGCCGGCGCTGGAGTAATGATTTAGAAGAAAACTGACATTGGGGGTTATTGAATTGAGGGATTAAGAAGAAATTACTAGGGTTTAAGTGGGGTTTGTGAGTGAATGATGAAGAAGGGGAAGGTAAGATTTGAGGTAAAGCCATGAAAACCAGAGGAATAAAAATGGAATCTTTGAACAATTAAACAATAGCCATTGATGAAGAAGAAGATCAAGAATGGTTCTTGATTAAGCGAAGAAGTAGTAGGGGAGAATGAATCAGTTTGTATCCAAATCCACACAAATTTTAAACCTAAAAATATCCATGGGGGGTTTGATATATCTGAGTGTGGTGAGAACATTTACACGTGGAAATTTGTTATCTTGAGCTTACGTGGCAATTTTGATATGTTGAATGGTTAATACTATTTGCCACATCAATTATTTGGATTTTCATTTTCCATCCTACAAAAACAATCTCATACATCATCTATAGGAAAAGGAAAAATTTCACGATAACGAAGATTACGGTGAAGTAATAAGTATTTTTTCATGTTTGAGTTTGTAAGATAGATTTTACTTTCTATATGAAATTTTTTAATGTAAATTCAATTTTTTTAATATCAAATGTCTAAAACTAAAAGAATAATCTATTCTTTAAAAATAGTAAAGTAAGAAATAGTAAATTTGGAGAAGTGGTGATGTAGATGATTTGCTATGAATGAGGAAATGGATATACTTGGGGTGATAAAGCTAGGAATCGATAGTTGAGTTTGTTGAACGAAGATTGAAGACTGATGGAATATTTGAAGGAACAAGTCTATTGAAGCAGGTTGACGAGTTAGAGTTAGAGTCATATTCGCCAGCTTGTTTTGATGGACTTGTTTCTTTGACATGTTCTATCACTCTTCAAGCTTTCTTTAGTAGGGTTTGTGAAACGAAATTATCTGTTCACATCTTTGATGGAATGATGCATATAAATTTCGCTGATTAAATTAGGCATAATACATAAATATAATTTTTAATATGGCTTCAACGAACACTTATGTCTTTCAACATTGAATATGCACAAATAGACACTTAAATTTATGTAAAAATTGAATAAGTAGACATATGTGTTCTATAGGGTATAATACATGTAAGACGCCACGTAGGATACAAAAATTCTCATGCAGGGTGTCATGTAGAATTAAGTTGTCTATTTGTTCAATTTTATACAAATTTAATTATTTGCTTATGCAGACTTAAAATTAAAGATCATAGTTATCCGTTGACGTCAAGTTAAGAGATATATTCATGTATTATGTCATTTAACTAACTTTAAATTTATGATTTTGATTCATGGAAACAATATAGTTTAAAGAAAAGTATTTGAATTTTGAGTAAAACCAACTGAACTTTAAGAAATGCTCATTGAATTTTTAGCTTCGTAAAAAAATGCTTTAGACAAAAATAATTTAGCCCTATCATATATATTTTGACGTTTAGGTAGAAATATCATATGCAATTTTAGAAATTTTATATGAATGTTGTCAACACCTAAATTCAAACTTGAAGTCGATGATTTGCAAATATTTATGCAGTACTCATAATTTATAGATGATGGTCCTATTAACACTTTGTCTCCGACTCAGGAAAAAAAAACTTACTCACGTCAAGTGTTTATATCAAATTGATATAATTATTACTATTACATAATTTAATGAAATAAAAAAAATACATAACATGTATGTATTGACTTGCTATAAAACACCCGATACGAGTAAATTTTACCCCAATTCACCGCCACAATTAACACATTTTTTGGGGCTTGTGCCACATTAAAGGTAGGCCCTTTGTTTAACTACGATGGGCCATGTCAGGCCATTACGTGATGGGCCAGACCAGCCCAACTACCCTCTCCAACATATTGCTTTATCGATTACTCTTTTAATCCAAATATGAACAATGTCAATGACAATAAGTATTTTCAAGCCCTACATCTTACGTGCCGTTTTATGTGGTAAATTAGTAGTTCACGTTTAATACATGTTATATCATTCATGATGTGTAACTCTACTAATTTATATAAATAACATAATTGAAAGACATAAAAATTAGATAAAAACAAATTAAAAGACGCATTTTTATATGATATCAAAATAAAAAAAAAAAGCTAAAAAAGATGAGCTCATATTCAATATATATTTTACCATATCAAAACTAGAAAGGGATGCCGTGTTTCCAAGTCCTAAGTATACAAATTTCTCCTAATCCGTTGATTTCTTAATATCGTTTTAGATAATGAAATAATGATATTCCCAACTAACAATAAAATAATTTTAAATCGAATAATCTGTACTCTGCTAAGATTTATTAAACACAAATAGACACTTAATTTTAGTGTCACCAAAGAAGTCATCGAAGTCGTTGTTTCGTCATTAATTTTTTTAAACTTGATAAATCGAATAAATTTATATTTATTTATATTGAAAAATCATTTTTTTTAATTTTTATATTAGAGCTTGATAAAAGACTATCTTTTATTAAATAGTCTCGAATTTAACATTAAATTAAAAATAAATAAATATTTATCGCACTCCGAATCGATAACGAGAGTCCAAGTTGTTCTTTGTCAATTTGCCCACGTGTCTCCACGTCGCGTGGCATTCAATTTCTCTTACCATTAAACCGACTGAATAAAGTGTTCACACTATGTGACGCGTTTCCTAAATTCGTAATTAAGTTTGAAATGCATTACATTTTGGTAATTTACCATCTTCGCTTTCTTGTATAAAGTCTCTGCCAAAGGGAAGATGCTGTGCATTGTGCGTTAGTTTTACGAAGAGCTAAGGACTTGTTTGGTGTTATTTTTGATTTTTTGATTTCTAATATCTTTGAGAATGGCCACTTCATCTGAGGAAGGACAAGTGATCGGCTGCCACAAGGTTGAGGAGTGGAAGGTGCAGCTCCAGAAGGGTGTGGAGACCAAAAAACTGGTATAATTTTGATTTTTTCTCTTTGATAATGGCGATTTTGCTTTGTTACTTTGACTTGTGTTATGGGTTTGTTTAAAATTTGATTTTGTGAAATGGGTATTTGTTGTTTCGATTTATTGTATGAGATTTTGTTGATTTGTTTTTAGCGGTGGCTCGTCGGTGGGCTTTTTTTGGGTTTTTGTATGCTTACCTAAAGTTTATTGTTTGATTTTCAGTTATTGTGCTAACGTATGATTTGATGTTAATATAATCGTATTCTCACCCATTTGATTGGCTTAATTGTGATTTGGAACAAATTTGTAGTTTAAGTTGAGGTCTTTGCTGATTAGGCTTTGTGGGGTGGGGTTGGGGTGCTGGGTCGCTATCTGGACCCCTTGTGGGGAAAAATATATGCAATTCGTGTAATTTCAACCAAATTTGTATATGGGTTCAAAAGGTTGTTTGAGCCGGATGTAAAGAAACTGATGGATGTGATGATGTATTTTTTTGAAGACATGGCCCAGTATAAAGTTGATATGATGCTTAACTTGTTGTGCCATGGATTCGAACTTAGTATAGTTCTTTTTAGTAAAACATTAAATTATATAAGTTGAGGTGAAGTCACCACACCGATGGTATGGCAGGGGCGGATCCAGGTTAGGGCCGAGAGGGTTAATTTTTTAAAAAAATGTATGCATGGTAGATGTTGAACTCTTTTTGGCCTGGGGTGTGTTTAGTGATCTGGACAGTCAGGTGGTTTAGTGGTTAATGAAGGGGAGAAGCATAATGGATGCAAAAATATTAGGTGATGTCTAAGTATGTAGGGGTGATTTCTTCCTGCCTAAGTGTTAGACGGTAGAGATGGTAACCGTGTTAGAATAGTCAAGCTGCACTTTGACTCGTTTACCGCCATCATCAACGAAAAAAATTGAGCCGGAGTCGTTATACATCTAGTGTAGTTACTAGAACAAATAGTAGTTGTCTGGATGATGATGGTATGCTTAAATATGCTTCAGATTTCTAGTTGTTGGGTGTAAATCTTACTTGTAAACCAGCATTGCTTCGAACTTAGCACAAGCATATATATATATATATATATATATATATATATTATGAATATTTTAAATATATGTACATTTTCGAGTTGAGGTCACTGTACATCTGCCCCTAGCTGTTAGTTAGACCAAGTAGAATTAGTACAGAATGAGTCTGTCTTTAAATATGCCTCAGAATTTTAGAAATTGTTGGGATAAATCTTTTCTTTCAACTGGTGTCTAACTCATGTAAAATACAACTTGTTGATCCAGGTGGTGGTGGATTTTACTGCTTCCTGGTGCGGTCCTTGCCGTTTTATTGCCCCAATTCTTGCTGACATTGCTAAGAAGATGCCCCATGTTATGTTCCTCAAGGTTGATGTTGATGAACTGAAGGTACGTCTCCGATCAAAATTTGCATCAATTTTGTACTCGTTCTTTGACTAATGTAATCAGTGACTGTGATTGTAAATCGACGTAACCTTTCTTGCAGAAAGTTGCAGAGGAATGGAATGTAGAGGCAATGCCAACTTTTGTCTTCATTAAAGAGGGTAAAGAAGTGGATAGGGTTGTTGGTGCCAATAAAGACGGATTGCTTCAGACCATAGAGAAGCATGGTGCTGCTCCTGCTGTTGTGACTGCTTGAGCCTTAATATTTAGTTTTGTCTTCTGTAATAACTCTGGATGGTTGTTTTTTAATTACCCACCATTTTTTTACTGCTTTCTTGAAAGATTTGTTATGTTGGTGTTTGGAATCTGACATTTGTGCATATGGTGTTTGCTGGTGTAAGGCTATATGTCCATTTCTATCAAAAGACTCTTTTCCCATTTCTGCTCTAGACTTGTTTATAATTACATAAATCTTTTGGTTTTTGTAGATTATCAACATCTAAGGTCACCTTTGAGCAGGTGTGAATTGAAAGAAGTGTACTAAGTACACTTTTTTGAATTTTTTGAATTTGAAGTTGTGTTTGGACATGAATTGCGCTGCGAAACGTGTATTTACTGTAGATTTATGATTCTATTCCCTCTTGCTCATATACATAAATGGATATGAAATATGATTTGAGATATTGTGACTAGGTACTTGATCTTGTTTTCTTTATAAAGGTCATGGGTTACACAATGTCAGAAAGAATGTGAGATACCAAACTCTGTGCTGGGAACAGAAGACATCAAACATATACATCCACCAAGCATAGTGGAAATTCATAATGGTTTATTCTAATAATGAAAAGAAACAAGAAATTCTAGCAGATCTTGGATTTTCCAAGAAATGTGATGGAACTCATCATCTAAGCCTACAGAACAAATAAACTAAACTCATGAAGTTGTCCTTTTCACTAGCAATATCCTTGATACATCACCACCTATTTCCTCGAACAAGACGAACAAATTTTGTGTTGGTTTCAACCAAGATCTTGGGACATGGTACCTACAGAAGCAGAATAGACGAAGGAATTGTTAGCAAGTGCAATTGTGTTGTTGATGATATGAAAGAAATCTAAGGTATGATTGATGAAAGAATCAGTAGAAATTCAAAAAGTACCATTTTTGAGTTGGCTGACCACAGCCAAGTTGACATTTTGTCTGTCTGTATGTTCCAGCATAGTGGAAATCATCACATTTGCCGTTAGCAGTTGCTGTCCAATATCGACCTATGCTTTGTCCATTGATCCATACTTGTCCTTTACCCATGCTTCTCATGTCTAGTGCCACAGGGTTATTTCCTTCTGGTGCATCAAAATAAGCCTGCAGAGGCGATCCAGTATGTGAACATAATAGCTTCAAGCTTCGAAATTCTTTGAGAATATGGTCTATATACATATAGATGGTCTATGATCAGTGTGTTCAATCGATCCCACTCCCAAAATTCTGTGTACGCCTTTGTTAGGAACTTAAATCTTTTTCTCATTTATTTACCTTGTACCATTTAAGAGGTTGTTGTCTTTGGGTAGCTACTGCACCACCAATCCATTCAATGGAAGATGCTCCGTGTTGGGAGATCAAGTTCATTGTTTCTCCTTTCAATCCAGCCTGAAAGACCTCTTTTAACTGTCAATGATCTTTTAAAAACAAACAGAAGAGAAAGATTTGGTAAAGATTCAGTACTCTGTATGTCCATTTCTGTGACGATAGGTCTTTATGGCCTTGGTTGAGACCTTGAAGAACAACTGGCCCGAGTATTCCTGTATTCCATTCCTCGTAATGCAGTCCAATGTTCTTGAAGGAAATAAGTGTAATTATCATCAATTGAGAACAAAAAACTGGCAACATAGAGTAACTAAAGTTTGAATCTGTTTTTGCCTTGATGGCAATGTAGACAAAGATGAGAAACTAACCGGTAAGCCAACAGCAATACTCAGTAGCTCTATTGTATTGCTTCCGGCCTGCAGATCAACTGGTCCTGTGAAAGAGAATTTTGTGTCCTTCCGAGTACCATAAGAAGATCCTGAAAATCACGAATTGGCTACTGTCATGAAAATCTTATATCAAAAATGTCTCCTACTAGCTGTTCCACCAATTATGTGCATATACCTGAAAGTTTCCCATTTACAAAAACATGAACTGCGTGTCCATTTGAGTAGATGTTGAGGGTTGGTTTTTGTCCCCCTCGTAGAAATGATTCTGAGGGACTAACATCGACACTGCATTCCAAGTAAGAAAGTGAATTCATTGTCAATATTAGAAAAGTTCATATACTTATGTTTGGATGATTTTTTCGACTTATTTATGAATCTCACCTTGTTATGTACCACAAGTAATCACTGTTATCTCTGGTGATATTTATCTGCTCCAAAAGTCCTACAGCTTCAAATGTTGAACTGTCCTCTAAAGAAAATACATCTTCATTATAAGCCCCCCAAGAGTGGAGCTGAGAGCCAGTTGGTGTCATTCGCACTTGTGAAGTTCGAGCCCCAACCTTATCAAGAAAAAGATGTCTTAAATTACTAAGCTGAAAGACAAAGTGCATAGCTACAAAAAAGAGATTGAATGACAAAGAATAGTGTCTGTTGACAGTACGCGACCAAGGTTCAAATTTGCAATTGTACAAATGCTTGTTGAAATCTTGCTTACCTTTGCTGTATTAAAGGCAACATGGCTGCAGTCTGGAAGAATACTGCTGGACCAAGGAGGAAGATTATAGTGCTTGTTGTTAAAAACTACTCTAGCAGCAGAGTTACTGTCATAATTTGAGAGAAATGCTGCACAGTTTCCTTTGCCAGACAAGAATACGTGAGCCTAGCGTAAATGACTTTTTTGAATCAGCAAGACAAACAAGTAAAGCAAATTTCATATTTTTTGAGGTTAAGAACCTTTGTAATGGATACTAACCTGCTGATAGTTTCCAAGTGAAACAACAGTGGGATCTGAAGATAATAACGCGCTCTCACATAGTTTGATTACCCTGTGGAACTCCTTAAGATGGCTATATTTGGGTTCCCTGATCAAACCTGATTACGTATGAGGTTAAGAAGTTAGCTCATAACTAAAAGTTCAATCTAGAGCTTGATCAGGTTACTTCAGCATATGTCATGAAATGAAATATAACATCTTTCATAGCGATAATGATAGACAAGGACTATAACTTAGAGATTCAGTGTTCTAAATTCACGCATAAAAGGACTTTCTAGCCATCATGGACTGAGCTGATTAATCTCACCATATTCATCAATGGGAGCATCATAATCATAACTTGTTGTTATAAAAGGTCCTCCAGCTGTACGGCCAAAGTTGGTTCCCCCGTGGAACTGTTAAAAGAAGACATAATTAAGACAAGCAAGATCATTCATCCTATTCAAGCATCAACATGATCAGTATGAACATTGGATTTTCTTCTTCTTCTTTCTTTTCGGAGGAAGTTCATTACCATGTAGTAATTAACAAATGAGCCACCTTTTTGTATGAAACGAGCAACTGCAAATGCCAAATCTTGAACTGGCCTCATAGGTATCGTGCTACCAAATTCAGTGAACCTTCCGTCAACAAAACAAAAGAAGATGTGAACCAATTGATGAAAATGAACCTTATGAAATGTTCAAGTTTCTTAAAGAAGATGTTACCAGCCAGTCCAAGCTTCAGTCCACATAGTTGGTTTGTAAGGTTTGTTGGGAGAGAATTCATCACAGTAAAAACCATTGCATGTATTTATCTGATTAAGACACATGCTTAGAGCCCTCAGTCAGTAGTTTCAAGAACGCTATGCCTAAATCCGAGCTATTTATATATACTGAGAGTAACGGGAGAAACTTACGATAGGGTCAGGGGCATCATCCTCTTTGCACATTACCCAGGGAACACCAGTATTTAATCCAACAGCCATTTGTGCAGCCCATTGGACATATGCTTCACCAGCTGCTCCAAGCACCTCTTTTTCTGGTTGATATTCATTTTCAATCTAACCAAACACAACTTCAAAACACTCAGCTAGACAATTGCGCGGTATATCATGCATTACAGAAAACAGAAATTCCACAAGTTTCATACCTGAGACAGTATAATGGGACCTCCTTGAGATTCAAACAAGTTTTCACTCTTCATCATTTCAACTATTTTATTGGTGAACTTTTGCATTGCTGCCTTTACCATAAAACAATTGAAATGTCAATACTACAACTCATGATCAGAATCTATCAATCGGTATAATTGGTGCTGTATTTGTACAACATAGTCGAATAAAGTTCAGTTACTTTAACACGACAAAAAGATCATTTTTTGACTATGCACAAACCTTGAAAGGTTCATTATCTGTTCTGAAACTGATGCCAGGAACATATTTCAACCATACCGGAAATCCTCTGCATCAAATGAGAGGTTACATAGACTCATTAGCTCATAGTTGAAATCAACCATATATTAAACTAAAAATAGCCGACAGATGTATAATATGTGTATGATCGTGCATATTATAATCTGTCCATCTATTCGTGTAAAGATCCTCGAAGTAAAGCTATTACCCAAAATTCCACTCAGCACAAACATAAGGTCCAATGCGCAAATGTGCATAAAGACCAGCTTTCTGCACAGTCTTTATAAACCTTACAAGATCATATCTCCCATCAAAATTATACTGTCCACAAGAAAATATATTGTATATTAGCTATAAGGCTATAAGCAAACACAAAGATCAAGTCTTTTTGGACAAACTGTACACTCACATTGCCAGGGGAAGGTTCATGAACATTCCAAAAAACATAAGTTTCAATAACATCCAAGTTTGCATCTTTAGCCTTGTTTATAAGATCTTGCCACATCTGCAACACCACCATTTCGTTTAATTCATCAGTACATAACATTTAGTCGAGATGGTCACACATTTTAACAGAAAGTGAGAGTACCTCAGGGGTGCTTCTAGGATAATGTATGGAACCAGATAGAAGAATTCTTCTTTGCCCATTAATGATAATAGCCTTCTTATCATAAGTAACAATGCAAAAGACCAACTGAACAACCATTAACAAAGAAAAAATATAAACTTTTAGGAACTTGGAAACTAAACTTGTCTCCATTTTTTTGTCAACACTTGTAATACAGAGAGTCAAGAATTATAGTATGCAGAATGGCAATATATATGGTGCTGTTTGGATTCTTCTTGCTCATCAGCTAGTGAGCTACGGAGAGGGAAAGAGTGTACACACACGTAGTCTACCTCGTAGAGATAAAAAGTGTATTTAATTCCAAAAGATCTTATGACTATTAGTGTATGACAAAGCAATTTGAAAAGGAAAATACCAAGTAAAAAAGATAATAGTAACAAATAATATGATAATCGAAACACAAAATATAGAAAAAGTCCAATGTTCATAAATGGAGCCTTCTCAATAATATATATAAGTGT